TAATGGTGTGCAGCCCTGTCTTCTTGCTTCGTTTTCTGAGTATGTCTCTTCCTATGTCCTATGAGTCAGAGTTCATCTTCCTGTGGTCCTCTGCTGAGGAAGGACTGCCAAATTGAATTTCTTTAACCAACTCCCTTTGCCTCTGGGCCCAGGTCCCTGGTGCACTCCTGCAGCTTCTCTGGGCACCTGTCACCACCACCCTTTGCAGACAAGAGTTGGTGCCCTACTGCAGCCCCATGAGAACTGGGAACATAGCCTCTCCAGTGCCCCCAAACAGCCAGACGAGGATGACTTCAGACCTTTAACCCTGAACGTTCTCGGGTACTCCCATAGGCCACACCCTCAGGCTGGGGAGAAAGTGAGGATATTGACAAGACCAGAGATTCGGGGGGTTTATGAGGAGCTTGATTAGCTGGTATCTATGGGGGGCCCGATTAGCTGGTACCCAGGGATTCAGCTGACCTCCCTTCTCCTGGTGGTTTATTTCTCTAGACTTGGGGACATTTCTTGGCACCTGCCCTCTTTTGGCTTCCTCTTGGGTTCTCTAGCAAAGCTGTGGCACCTTGTCCTGTGCCTGATGGCTCTCTTTGCCCCTGAACCCCAGGGCTGCATTGGCAGATGCAATGGTGCACATCAGAGGGCTGTGAGTATTCTAGGAGACTGGCTCAGTGCACAGGAAATGGTGCTGGAGTCAGAGCAGAGTTCTGGTCTTCAGTTCTGGCCTTGACCTCTGGGCCCAGGTCAAGTCACCTTCCGTTGCTGGGCATGACTGTTTTGACTAACAAATGAAGAGGTTGGGCAAAATGATGGAATGGCCTAAGAGGGGAGGACAGGGGACAGGCGTGGCCAGGGTAAAGGTCTCATTTTCCATCTTGCCCTCATCAGTGAGCCTGAGGACGGGCTGTGAAAGGGTGTGTCCTGCGCTGGGGCCTGCAGCCTGGCCTGCAGGGTTTGGTTTCTCTGCTGTAACAGGGTATAGGGCACCTGGGCCCTCGCTGAGGAGTCTTGCTTGGTGGAGCCTGGAGGGGAGCCGCATGGGGCCGTGCAGACTAACCTGACCTCTGAGCCAGTCTTCACCCCAGGCCCATTCTCCACTCCAGTTTCGCTCTTGGCCTTGCCCACGCCCCTGTCCTAGCTGCCGCGTTGTGAGCTTTCTGGGGACAGGCACCAGGCTGTTCCCATCTGCCCTTCCTCACTCAGGGCTTGTGTGGGTGCCGGACAAGTGTATGTTTGTCAGATGGAATTAGTGACATTTGTGTTGGGAGATTTCTCGATCCTGATTTCTGGGAAACGGCCATTGTAGGTGGTAGGTGATGTGCGGCACAGTCATTCCCATGGCTTTGGAAACCAAATGTGTTCAGGCCAGAGCTGGCTTTCTGGCTGATGTGCGGCGTTGCTGCACTGGTCCCAATTTCAGAAAAAATGTTTCATGTTAAACATAGAGAGAGACTGGGTCGGTGACTGCTTGGCACTGTCTGTTTCCATCTTCCGTTTCCTACCTCACACTGGATGGGGCACAGTTTTTGTAGGAGGTTTCTCAGCCCCAAAGTGGTGCTTGCTCAACCCTTGAGCTAATAACACCGTGGATTCTCCTGGCGCCTTTCATCCAAGGACCTCCTCACCCTCCAGCGTTACCTGATCCCCACACAGCTCAGAGAGTACGATAACCCCTATTATTAGCTCCACCTCACAGCCATGGACATTGTGGCTCTGAAATAGGACATTAGTTGGGTCTGGAACTGGAACAGGTCTCCCAGCTTCTGAGATCAGTGTCCTGGGCAGGAGTTTGATGGGTGGAGAGCTAGACTAGGGTTTGCTGGAGCCTGGATTGCTTGGGCTCGTAGCTTAAACACCCCAAAGTGCGAGGAGCAAGTGGTTGCCACGTCACGGTGGTTGGTGGACTGCAGCAAAGCTTCCTTCTCTTCTGTTCTCCAAACTGTGTCTAGCCTTCCTCTAACCAGCAGCAAAGCACAAGCCCCAGGCACCATCCCAGTTCCGTGGGGCATGTCCAGAGATGAACAGTTGAGATGATGAGGAATGTTGCACTGTGCCACGAGGAACAGTGGAAGGAGTGTAGACTCTGGTCTAGAGGAGAGATTTCAGACTGCAGGATGAGATCTAGTCAATGAAAGTTACTGAGAGGCCACTTTCGGCTCAATAAAGATGGAGCGGTGAACAATCAGAACTATGTCAAAAGCAAAAGGGCTCCCATTTGAAGAAGAGAGCTCCCCATCACTTGAGGTGATCAAGCAGAAGCGGATGACTGCTAGACAGAGCTGTCATGGATGGAGGAGATGTGAGGACTTTGCAGTTGATGTGTGGGGTTGCTGTAGGCTGGGCCCCGCCCCGCCCCGTGCTTCTCGCATCGTCTCCAGTGCGCGTCCACTAGATGGTTTGGGTTCAGTAGCTTTTTGAGGTTCCAGGAAGAATGTATTGGACTCAGAAGACTTTTCAACATGTCGTTGAGGAAGATTTTTCAACATGTCTTTGAGGAAGGTCTTCTCTCTCCTCTGTTGATGCTGGAGGGCCACTGGGTATCTGTGAGGATGACCTGGTGTTTTGTTTTGGGCTGCATTGTAAAGTAATGAGCTCCCCATCGCCAGAGGGATGTAAGCCTAGGCTGGAGAACTACTCCTGAAGGTATTATAGAAGAGACTCCTGATATGTTGAGGAGGCTGAGCTAGATGGCTTCTGAGCTCCCTTCCAACCTAGAGACTGCCTGATTCTTTGAATCTCTTCACATGAACCAAGAGGATTCCCATCACCATGATTCCACTTTTCACCCAACCAGGAGAGGAGGTGAAGTTGTTTCTGTTCTTGTCTCCTTAGGTCAGCTGAAGCTGTCGATCGATGCCCAGGACCGGGTTCTGCTTCTCCACAGTGAGTATGGCTGTGTGCCAGGCCTATCAGGAAAGGGATGGGCCGCTCAGCTTCCCTCCTGGAGATGGTGTTACCATAGGCCATGGCTTCTTCTCTCATCTTTTTATAGTGTCCTGTTACGTGTCCATCGAAAAGAAGAGGGTATTCACTTGAGACTCTTTCTAGGGATACCTCCCTGGTCCTGCTCCTGATATGACTGAGTCCACACAGTGGGCCATTCCTCCCCCGCAGGCTAGAACTGTTCCTGGCTCCAGTGAAGCAGGACCACAGGAGACTTCTCGATCCTCCCTCTCTGATACTTTACTGCCGAGTGACCTTAGGCAAGCTCAGTACCTATCTTGTGGGCTGTTGTAAGGATTAAAGGAGTTAATATTTGTAAAACACTTGGGACAGTACCCGGCATGTAGTGAGCTGTATTTTAGTGTTTGTCAAATAAGATAGAAAGCTGTAAATTCCAAAAAAGTGATGGAGAAACAGGCCCGAACCAGGCAGAAGGGAGCAGGAAGGCTGGACATTCCGTGCAGGGAGAGCAGCATGTGCAAAGGCCCCGGGGGTCAGAGAGAACATGATGCATTTGAAGAACAGTCTAACATGACTGGGGCACAGCACAAGATGGGTGGAGGGGTAACCTGGGGCCAGGTGATCAAGGTCCTCTGGTGCCACCCAGAGGATTTTTACACTTTACCTGTCCATTTATCCATTTGTTCAGCCTTCTATCCATCATACCAATAGTCACTGAGCATCTGTCATGAGCCCCGCTGCCAGGACTCTTCTCTTTGGCCACAAAGGCCCTGCCTATCTCTCTGGCCTCCCTGTCTCTTGCCACTAAAGACACTCCTCACCCCCTGTTCTATCCAGTTACGTGTACCTCCTGCCCCTTGAATGCATCACGCTTGCTCATGCCTCTGTGCCTTTGCACCCTCTGGTCCTTGTGTCTGGAATAGTTTGCCTTCTTTTTGAAGTCCTTTTGAAAAATAAGTCTCCCTCCCTCTGATTTTACAAAAACCCTGCCTGCCTTCATCATTGAGACTCAGGACGGAAGGCTCATTTTGCCTCATGTTTTTCCTTCTAAGAATCACCCCCTGACCTACCTGCCTAGGCTGTTTGTTGCTTCTTCCTCCATGTCTTCATCACAGCCCTGACTACACTGTGTCACCCTGAACTGTCCAGGGTCTTTTCTTCCCCACTAGAATGGGAGTGTATCCCCCGAGAGCCAGGGAGACCCTGCGCTCATCAGGCCTGGATCCTGCCCTCAGGGACCACGCCCTCAAGGGGAAGCATGTGCCAGGAACAGTAACTAGGATACCAGGCAGCTAGACCAGCAGGCGCCTGAGGTCCTGTGGTCCTGGCCTTGGGGGGCCCAAGGTGAAGTTCCCAAGGACCAACAGAGCGGGGTTCTTTGCCCGCCAGAGCCTGACTCCAGCTGTGCAAACAGTTTTTGCAAAATGCATGTTGGCCTCCACCACTCCATTTGTCCTGCACAGTTTTCTTTGGCTTCGCCCCAGTCTGAGGACTTCATCCCATCCAGCCTGTTCCTCTCTCTCCTTTGCTTTCCCGGCCTTACGACACAGACTACAGGAGCTCCATCGAAGCCAAACCCCCGGGCTCTATAAAACTACACATGAAAGAAAATAGAAAAGAGGCTCAGTTTCTGTGAGGTCTGCTGTCTGATTTCTGCAGACTTCAGGCAAATGGGCCGCGCTTGCCTTCATGACCAGACCTGCAGCCCACCCCCACCTATCCCTTGCCTTTATTTATCATTCTTTTCTTTAACCGCACTTTGTTGAGCAGTTATTTGTTTGCCAGGCTGTCTACTAATCACTTTCGACACATTATCTCATTTAATTAGCACAAGTACCCTGCGAAGTGGATGTTATTATCACAAATCCATTTTGAAAATTGCAAATTCAGTCTCAGAGAGGCAAAGGGACTTGCTCTGGCTCGTGTGGCCAGTTAGTGTAGGGCTGGGATTCATGCTTGTGTCTGTCTACCTCTGGACACAAGCTTTTTGCCTCCTGTGCTATACTGTTCGTCAGTGACAGCACAGGTCACCGTGCAGGGTACGTTCTCTGGCCTGGTCCTTCCATTCCCAGGAGATAATCTTGTGTGATGGAAAGAACACTGGCCTGGGAGTCAATGGACATGGATCAAAACCCAGCTCTGTCAATCCATTGCTCTGTGACTTTGGATGAGTTTCTTACTGTCTTTGGGCCCCCCTCATAACCTCATCTTCCTCGTTAAATGAGGGGTCGGACTCAATAAATTCTATGTTCTCTTACAGCTGTTAAGATTCAGGGGATTGACTATACCTTATGATGCCTTGGCGAGGGTGCTGCCTGAGTGTGGGAGATGGTGGGAGTGGACTAGACCAGAGAGGGGTTAATATCCAATGGCGCTTATGCAGATTAAAGGCCTGGTAATAATCTTTCCCACCCGCCAACCCCAACATTTTAATTCTCTGTTTAGTCATAGAATGCAAAGGCCTGATGAGCAAACACCCCGGCATCTGTGATCCCTACGTGAAGGTAGATGATGAACTGGAGGTGGGGGCGGGTATGGATGGGGTGGGGTGGGATGTCACTGAACTGAGAGTCCCAAGATCCTAGCAATCTGTCGGCCTGAGGCCATTTCCGGTGATAGTGACCACCTCATCATTTGGCCAGTAGTTATTTATTAGGCCCAGGGATGAGGCCCTGAGCTAGGATAGACCCCTTCTTTTAGCCTGGCGTGGTCTTTAGGAATCTTACGGATGATGTTGGTCATCCACATAGGTGAGCATCATGAGTGTGTGGATGGTGTAAATCCGCAGATAATCCCAGTTCCTCTCATGACAAACAATACCTTCACCCCTCTCCTCCCCCAAACTAGAGGCAGGATGTCCAGGTTTGAGTGGCAGAGTGGAGGAGTGTCCCTGAGGACTAGAAGATCCGGCAGAGGTCCCATGGGTCAGGCGCCTACCTCCAGCCAGAACCAAAGGCCAGGCATGCAGAGTGTGGCAGTCGGGTTGCCAGGCCCTGATGCATCCCCCTTCCCAAAGCCCCCAGGCTGTCAGACATCCCTGTGGGCAAGGACTTGGTCAGAGCAGGGCGGGAGCCTGAGGCAGGGGACAAATGCACTAGGGTGAGAGCATGGATTGGGGGCCTTGGCAGAGGCTGACCTAGAGCCTCTTGTGAAGGGAGCACTCAGCAGCTGCTGGGAACTTAGAAGAGAGGAGACCTGTGCTTTGTGAGTAACCTCTGTGCTTGGAGGAAGAGTAGAGATGGTCAGGTTGTACCCATCTCTGGCTCGGCCGGTGACTACCTTCTTGGTCCTACCTACTAAGGGGCCCTGTCCTGGCATCTGACTCCAACGCCTCTGGCCTGGGGCTTCTCCTTCTTTCCCAGCATCTGACTAAGGACTCCACCCTGTCCTGTGCAGAGGCTGATGTGAAGGACACCCGGAAAGACTTCAACTTAGAGATGAGCAGAGTCAGCCTCTGGGCTTAGTTAACAACCTAGCCACGAGTAATCATCTAAATGCTTACTCTTCTCCAATTCAAGATTTCTTTGATCCCTGAAGATAATCGACTACGCCATCAGAAGACGCAGACCATTCCAAACTGCAGAGACCCAGTCTTCCACGAGCACTTCTTCTTGTAAGTCTGGTGCCAGAGGAGAGGGAAGGAGTGTTTATCTGGAAACAGCTCTGTTTGCCAAATCTAGTAACTAGATCTAAGCAGAAAAACAGTGACTTCTAAAGGATGTCTTTGTTTTCTCATTCACTTGTGTCCTTGCATCCCTGGCACCCTTCCCAGTGGTGAGGTCCACAGAGATAAGGTCTCACTTGGCTGGTTCTCATAACTGAAGTGCCCAGCCCGAGGCTGGCAGCCCCTGAGCAGTAGGCAATTTCCCACTGTGCCTCAGGCCAAGCAATCTCTAGCTGAAGGAATTTCCAAGCTGAGGAATGTTTTGCCTCCCTGCCTGTCTCTCACCCCCGTTTAAATACTTGCTAACCTCTCTGAGTCCTGGCTTTTTTATTTGTAAAATGTGGCTAATAATAGTGCCAACCCGGGAGAGCAGAGGTGTAAATGAGACACCTAATGTCAGCTGTTGTTGTTGTTATTATTATTACTATTTCTTTCCTCCATCCCTGAACTCTGGGGCCAGTGCGAAGGTAATGGACATTTTATATTTTCCCATTAGTGAAAATTTTTATTTTGTTGTTTTTCAAACTATACAAGGCAATAATGGAAAATACAGATAGGCAAAGAGAAGAAAAAACACCTTTAGCCCTACTACTCACTGATATGCCTTGGTTTATTTCTTTTCAGATCTCTGAATTTGTGTGCGTGTGTGTGTGTGTGTGTGTGTGTGTGTGTGTGTGTGTGCAGAAAAATGGAATTATTATATAATGTTGTACGGTAACCTCCCTTTTGTCCTTAACGACATAATGTGTACTATTTTATGTGTCAATACTCACCTCCCATGCTATTTGTGCTTGAGTTTTTTAACCACCTCCTTATGGTTGGATGTATAGGTTATTTCCAGATTTCGTAATTATGTCAGACAATGTGGGTCTGGCCTAGCGCTTGGCCCTACAAACACTCTGACCATCTGGTTTGCTTTGCAGTCCTGTCCAAGAAGAAGATGAACAGAAACGCCTCCTGGTCACTGTGTGGAACAGGGCAGGTGACTCCAGGTGAGGGGAGCTGCCGAGCAGGAGGAGAGATCATGCTCTGGGCCTGTGGGTGGCAGTCAGGCGGCCAGCACATAGCACAACCATGAGCGGCAGTGGCAATGCTAAGTTTGCTACTCCTTGAGACCCTGTCACTCTTGATGATGCCAAGGATTGTGTTATCAAGGAGCATTTGTTGAGCAAGACACTGCGTTGGCCACGGGGATGCCAACCAGCCTGCATGTGAGTTCTGCTCTCATGGCACCTACTTTCAGGAAGGGACATCAGACACTGCTGGGAGACAAATTACAGTAACAACGCACGTAGGCTCAGTCCCATAGGAGTAGAAACGCCATGAAAAGTGGGCCCACTTCTCTCTTAATCACCACCGTACCCAGTGCCTAACACAGAGATGTTTAGCGAGTATTGGTTCAATGAACAAGAACGAAAATGAGTAACAGGGCAGCAAACGTGTAAGAGGGAGCGTTCGTTGTTGGCTAAGGTAATCAAGGAAGCCTTCATGCAGAAAGGAGGATTTTGAACTTGGGGCGGAGATCGAGAATAAGACAAGGAGAGAAGGTTAGAAAGGACATTCCAGGCAGTGCATAGTATGAGCACAGGCAAGGGAGCAGGAATATTCCTGGTGGGCTCAGACTGCCATAAGGAGACCAGTATAGGAGGTGCGGAAGTTTCGTGTGGGAGAATCCAAATGGCCTGATCTTGCAGGCAGCCCAGACACAGGAGGCCAGCTGTGGTCATTACTAATGGCATTTAACACAGGGCAGGGGAGGAGAGCTAGGCAGGTGAGGGCGAGGATTAGCTAGCTGCTAAGGAAAGGGGGTAAAAGCACTTGACTGATGGCCATGGCACTTGACTATGAGCAGCAGGGGCTCATTTACCTGGTGTAGCTCAAGAAATGTGAGAGACTCTGTGGCCGTTAATATTTGTCAAGCGATCATAGAGCCAAATAGTGACTGAAAAAGGGTCTAGGTAAACGAAAATCGGCTCAACTCACTAGTTTAGACCTAGAGAATATTTTTGGGTTGAATGCTTTTTAATACCCTAAATTTTATAGCTACTATGCTTTTTAAAGTTGAGCCTTATTCAACTTTCATAATGAAGGATTTGTCTTTTGATAGCGCATCTACTTTTTATAATGGAATGGTGCTTATAGTTCTGTAAACCTCACTGATTGAGCTGCCATTTCCTGGGTGCCAGTGTGGCAACATCGTTGTAAGTGCTGGGGACACGTGGGGTCAATGAGAGACTGTCCTCCTCTTGCTAGGATCACTGATAGAGACTTGGGGGTATGGGTGAGGAGGAGGATGTCACATTGATAATTGGAGCGGCAACAATTTACCTGGTGTTGACGCAAGCCAGGTGTTAACAGTGGATTATCTCATTTAATTCTTAAAACAGCTCTGAGAGGAGTATGTTTTTGTCTTAAGTTTTTAAAAAAAGAAGACTGAAGCTAAGAAAGGAGTAACTTGCCCAAGGTCACACAGCTAGTGAAGAGTAGAGCCGGAAAGGGAACCCGGGCAGTTAGACCCCAGAGTCCCCACTCTCAAAACTATACTGCCTCCTGGATGTGCAAGTAAAAAGACAGAAGAAAGAACCAGTAGAGTGTAGAAGGCAGGGCAGGGCAGAAGTGCAGAGGGATCTGCAAACTTACTGGTGTTGCTGGAGGGTCAGGTATGAAGTAGGGACTGGCTAGGGATAAGATAAAGAAGTTGGTAGAAGCCCAGTCTGATTATTCTGTAGGTTTTCTTTGGACTGTGGGTTTTCTCCTAAGGGCCAATGGTTGTCAGTCCTGGGTATGCATTAGAATCATCCAGGGTGCTTGGAAGGAACGCAGGTTCCCAGGTACCATATCCGAATCTTCACGGGCAGGGCCTAGGAATCTGCATTTACACAATTCTCGGGGTGCACCTCATGGAGCCAGCTGGTGTTTGGGAAGTTGGCAATGGGGAGATGCTGAAGGGTGTTGAGTAAGAACATGACAGACGTGTATTCTAGATCTATCATTCTGTTAGCTCTTTGAAACGTTGGAGAGGAGCTAGGAGACTCTTGGTGATCTGTGAGAAAGATGATTTAGGGCTATTTTTTCCCAGGACATATTTAGGAGATTCAATCAAAAGTACTGAGCAGTAATTTAGCTGTGAGAGCAGTGGGAGAAGTCGAGGCGAACTCCTGGGATTAGATGGTGTCCCTTACAAAGTCACAGTGTCTTGGAGGGGAGGAGAAACCAGCTCTGGATACTGCGAGATGGAGGTACCTGGAAAACAGCCAGGGGCGAACTGTGAGGGGATCTGCCTTTGTTGACCTGGAGCTCAGGGGAGAGAGAGGTCTGTGGGAACCATGACCGCCAAGGCAGTGGGTGAAATTCTGAGCAGGTAAGACTGCCCAGGAACACAGCAGGTGCCAAGGACTAAGGGTCAGAATCTTCTTGTCTTGAAGGGAAAGCTCTGAAGGAGCCAGAGGAGAGTGTCAGAGAAACAGCTGGCCAGCCTGCCGGGTGGAGGCAGAAGTGGAGCAGGTGCTGTAGGCAGACACCAAACTGGGAGCTTCCGCTTGCCCCGCTGTGATCGCCCTTCTGCTAGACCAGGGCGAGCTGAGAGAGCTGCTGGAGGAGAAGCCAACAATGCAGTTCAAGGTTTTTGGGAAAGAAAGTGAAGCCAGGGAGAATGAGTCAGCGCCCCGCGAGGCCGTGTGACAGAGGCAGTGAGTGTCTCCACTTGTTGCCTATTTTGGGAAAGTGAGATTCCTTATTAAACAAAACACAGTCGAACTCGTGGTCACAGTCCCAACCTAAAGCTCCAGAGGGACAGAGCAGGCTTAGACAGGCCTGCTTTCAGAACAGAGGGCCCTGTCTAAGCTGCCAGCACCACAGAGACCAGCTCAGCCGGTGAGAGACGCAGTATTGATCCATCATCTCTGACTGAACAAGCCTCTGAGCTGGAGGAGGCAGACAGAGATTGCAGGGAACTTCTGTCTTGCTCAATGCTTTCAAATCAAATTGTGTTTCTCTGACGGATGGACATTCAGCTTATTCACATGAAAGACAATTAGGGAAGGAAGGAAACAAACATTTATTGAACTCTTCTTTATGCCAAGCACTTTACATACATTATCTCATTTAATTCTCATAACAACTCTGAGAGGTAGGAATTATTATTGTCCCTCTCTTCAGAGAAGAGGAAACTGAAGCTCACGAAGGCCCAGGAACTTGCCTGAGCTTATATAAAAGCTCATATTTATTAAGCACTTACTGTCCACTATGTGTAGGCATTAAGCATATTTCATTCACTGTCTAATTTAATCCTCATGAAACTATATAAAGTAGGAATTACTATTATCGCTCTTTTACAGGTGAGGAAACAGAGGCACAGAGAGGTTAAGTAACTTGCCCATGGTAACACAGCAGGACACAGTGGAAACCAGATGCAAATCAAGGCAGTCTGGCACCAAAGTCGCATACTTGTAATCACATCACAGTACACTTGACCATCTCATACGGGTGAGAAATGACTCCAAACCATATTCTTTCTGTGTCAGTACACGTGTTCCTCAGGCCTCAGACTACTTCCCAGAGCATTTCTAATGTAGTTTTATATAAGTCATCCAGCTGAATATGTGGCAGTAACATTTTGAAACTGCTGGGAGATAGAAAGGAAGAATCTGTTTCATGAATTCTCTTGACCCTTTCAGTGATGGCTATAAACTTGTATTAGGAAAGCAAGATGATCTGCAAAGAAGTTCTGGGGAAGGGCTGGATCATTTCAACTCGTCATGGTGATCATGGTAGGAGCTGAGGAGAACTGGGCTCAGAGCAGTTGATTTTGGCTTAGCTCTGACTCTCTGTGAGACCATGAATAAGTCCCTTCCCTGCGCTGGGCCTCAGTTTCCTCATCTGTAAAATGCACTGACCTCTAAGGTTACTTTCAGCTTTTAAGGTTCTATGAGTTGTTAAGAAATTATAGACATTTTCAAACGTATGGAAAGGTAGCAAATGTATAATAAACCCTCATATACTCGTAGTCTAGCTTAATCAATTATCAATATTTGGCCAATCTTATTTCACCTATGTCCCCACCCACTTTTCCCTTCCTCAGCGGATTATTTTTAAGAAAATCCCAGACATCATCTCATCTCATCTCATCTCATCTCATCTCATCTCTATATCTCTATAAAAGATGGCTTAAAAAAACAACCACAATGCCATTATCACATTTAAAAATTAACAGTAATTCCTTAATATCACTGACTATGGAATCGAGCTATTTAAAAGTTTTGTCTGATAATATGGCGAAAGCTAAACTGAAGCTTCTGGTGTCAGTCATGGTGTTTTCAGAACTTGTGGCCAGAGAACAATCTTAGGATTATAATGTTATGCACCAAGTTAAAAAACAACCACCACAACACACACATAATATGCCGACAGTACCTACATTTGTGGAGCATCTGCTTGCTACGTGTCACACACTGTCCTGGGTATTCTCAGTGTACTGCTCTCCTCTCATAACCAAGTAGAGTGCCGTAACGTTAGAAAGTTTGTGACTAGAGATGGCAACTGAACCTAAGGAAAGAAAAACTGAGTGGAAAAATGCGTTCAATTTATTTTAAGCCGTCAAATTAAAAATAAATGGCGATAAAATGGAGTAATCCTGGAACAGGAATGGTTTAAAGTCCCTGAGAGAGAGAATTAAAGGGCATTCCCTCAAAATAATGCCTTTTCTTTTTGCAGTGTGTCTCCTGCTTTATGCTTAAAAGTAAAGTGAGCCTAGTACTGTTCCCCATGAAGCCTTACCTCTGAGCCTTTGCACTGGCTGTGCCCCCTGCTTGAAATGCTCTTCCTCTCGTTTTCTCTGGCTTAACTCTTCAGGCTTTCCTCAAGCACTTTGGCCCTAAGCTACCTCTTGCTTCCCTGAACTTTCAGCATTTGTTGCCTGCACTGTTCATCTGTCAATCTCACCCTGTCTAGTGACATCGCCTGTATTGCTGTCTCGAACTGCTATTTAAATTCCTGCATGTTTATCTTGTTTCCTTAATGCTGGGCTCCTTGCCCAGTGCCTGCCAACCATGGGCATGATGGATTCATCCATTTGTCAAGCCTTCACTGAGTGCACCAAGCCCTGAGCTCAGGTTTCGGCATTCAGAAGTAACCAAGGCTTAGCCCCTGAGGATTTGTGCCTAGCGAAATTTCAGGCATTCCCCAGGGCGAGTGCAGTTTCCAAGTTTATAAGCTGACTGGTATATTGCCGGGTACTCAGGTTGCATGTAAAAGAAGTCTTTCTTCCTCCAAAGGTTTTTCAAAGGCAGGCTCAAGAAGTAGCTAACTGAAGAACACTTAGAGAGAGGGTCCTGATTACGGATTGTGACGATTTACTCTGCCTGAATTACCTTAAAGTCATTGGAGGTCCCTTAGCAGGAGGCGAAGCTCACAGGAGGCTATTAACCATTTAGCATTCTCTAAGCACTGGGAAATGAAAATTCTACTTACTGAGGAGCAGAGAGAGGCAGCTTTTATTACAGCTAAAGCATTGTGCCTGGAGATTTAGAAAGTTACAGCCATACCGAGTGTAGAAGAAAAGCATGTAGCCAGGCAGTGCGGGCACCTGGATCCCAGCTGGCTCTCTCTTGAATGTGTTGACAGCAATTAAATCGGCAATGAGGACTTTGGCAGTGTCTTGACAATGGCATCTCATATCAGTGTCTGTGCTCCTGATGGTTCTTGTGACTGCCCCTTTCCATCAGTGCTGACTTGGCTACTTGCCAGGAGGGAAGAGTATATGTTTTTGCGGTGGGCTGGGGAGGTGGACATGGAAGGGTCGCTTTACTGGGGTGACCACACTGTCCTCTGGGTGGATTATTAATATGGCCTTGTATGATGAGAGTGGAGTGGGGAGTAGGTAGAGCCCAGGCTGTAGGAAATGCGGGGTGGCGGGGCGGGGCGGGGAGAGAGAGAGTTTGGGGAGGAGAGAGAGAGAGAGAGAGAGAGAGAGAGAGAGAGAGAGAGAGAGAGAAAGAGAGAAAGAGAGAGAGAGAGAGAGAGAGAGAGAGAAAAGAGGCTGGTGGGACCCTGCCAAGTGCAGAGTGTTCGTCTGCAGGGCAGGCACACCTGTTCTGAGGACCAGGCCCCAGCATTCTGCATCCTCACCCCTCACTTGGCTTGGCTGCTCTTAAGAAGCCGGTTTTGTTTTGCTTAGGACTATCAGGTGGTGAGCTGCCACCCTTTCCGGAGAATCCAAACAATATGTATTTATAGAGGCCTTCTAGACCACTGGTCCTTGACTGGGGCAGGCATGGGCGGGTGCCTTCTCCAGATTCACAAGCTTGGACTCTGCCTTGGACCTGCTGCGTCTGGATCCCTGGGAGCAGGCTCTGGGGCACAGGACTTGGACAGGCTTTTCAGGGGGCTGCTGTGGTACACTCCTGGCTGGAGCTGTGGGCCTTGCTCAGGCCCCCTTAGGCCGGGTACCAGGGAGGCACATCTCCAGGGAGTTCACTACCTATCCAGGAGCTCATTTCATCTTTGGCTCTGATATTGTGCTTTCCACAGAACGTGCCAGATTTATGCGGGTCCCTCAGGTATTGAAGTCAACCATCAGGGTTATGCTCCAGCCTAAATATCCCTGTTGTTTCTTGATTAACAGTAAACCAACTCTGACGGGGTCTGAGTTGGGGATGTGCTAGGAGAGAAGAGAAAAAAAACACCTCTATCTAGTGTTAGTATAGAGAAAAATGTGGTGGAACAGAAATACTTTTAAATATATTTACACTGTTTTTCTTCTCCTGATTACAAAAGTACTGCTTGTTCCCTATGAAAATTTGAAAACACTGAAAACCTGAAGAAAAAACAAAACCCTCTCTAATCCTGCCTACCAGATACAACCATTCTTAATATTTTTGTGGGTGTCTCTCTCATGAACAACCATTGCGAATATTTTTGTGGGAGTCTTTCTCATTATACTACAGATTTATAAATTCCCTTTTCTCTCACAGTAGGGAGGATATCTTTTGCATTTTATTAATATTGATCTGTGCCATCATTATTGAAAGCTGCCAAGTATCACTCAGTCCCTGACTTTGGGACAGTGGGACAGTCTTCAGGAACTTTGACTTACTTTTAGCCAAAAAGGACCTGACTGAACTCTCAGCCCGTGGCCACAGTGTGACATCCCTGCGAGGCCTGACCCTGGTTTATGGCTACTTGTCCAGCTGGACCCCCAGGTCAGATTGGTCTCGGAGACTTTTGTGTTGGTTTGAACTTTGATCTGAAACTGTCCAAAGACTGCCAGGTCCTGCCTGGACCTTAGACAGAGCTTCTTGAGCTTGAGGTCCTATAACTTTCCTCCGTGACTGAGCATCACCAGCTGATGTGAGAGCTGAAGTTCCCTCTGGGGACCAGCTCTTCAGATCTGCCTGGATCTGGGCTTCTGTGGGTGATGGAGGGAGTGCTGCCTCATGACCTAGGACACCTGGGTTTCCCATGAGACTCTGCTACTTACAAGTCCGGTTACCTTGGGAGGGGACCAACTCTAAGCCTCAGTTTTTTCCTCTGTGAAATAGAGAAATAATTCCTCTTCAGCCTGACAATTGGAAAGATCAAATGAGATGAGGCACATAAAAGCACTTTCTAAACCGCAGTGCGTCGAGCAAACCGATGTTACACTTGATAATAGACTCCTCAATAATGCCCAGTGAAATGGTGCTGACTCAGGCCTCTTGCTCTCCCAGACAGAGTGGACTCATTGGCTGCATGAGTTTTGGGTTGAAGTCCCTCCTGACTCCGGACAAGGTAGGTCCTGAGGAAGCTTCTGGGAGGGTCATCCCACCTAGGCCAGGGCTGGTATAGGTGGGGCCTTTGTCTGGAAGCCCTCGGGTGGCATTTCTGTCTGTGAGATGGTGCTCCACTGAGACAAGTGCCATGTGGCCTGAATAGCACTGTATTTATCACCTACGTGACCAAGGGGTTGGGTTCCTCTCTTGGTTCGATCTTGTCAGAGAGCAGTTGTTCGGCAGCCCTAAGTCCTCCCAGGAGGCTCTGGGTCTAGAGTCTGCTGTTAAAGACACTGCCAGGTCCCTTGGAGTTCAGAGCACTCCTGGGCCTGCCCTCAGGAGGAGGGCCAGGCGCTTCCTGTGGTCTGTTCCAGCGGTCATCATCGTCTGCCAGGCCTCGTGTTTCTGGGCCTAGCAGGTGCATAGCGGGTGGACTGAGCATCCTCTGTGGAGCTTTCTTTCCAGTTAGCTGGGGACTCTTTGGGGTCTAGAGACACCATCCTTTCTACTCTGCATTGCACCTGAAGGCTTTGAGCAGGGAAGGGACGTATTCTTTTTGCACATCCTTGGGGATGTCCTAGTGACCTGCTGCATGGTGTTGCCAGGTGGCCCTGGAAGTGAAGTCTAGGGTAGGTGGCTGAGGACCTCTTACCCTGCATGACAGTCTCAAATGTCTTGACTGCAGCCTCAGCTTTATTCCTTCCTGGGAGAAGATGTTCCCCTCTGCCGACTGCTCAGGAGCCTCGGGCTGCCCTCACTCCTTTCTGTCAACATTTATCTGGCTCCTTCTGTATACCAGGGCTGGGCACATAAAAGAGTTTGTGTACAGTCTAGTGGAGGTGGCAGCCATGCAAATAGACTATTCTCTCTGTCAACATTTATCTGGCTCCTTCTGTATACCAGGCACAGGGCTGGGCACATAAAAGAGTCTGTGTACAGCCTAGTGGGGGTGGCAGCCATGCAAATAGACTATTCTCCGGAGATAAGAAGCTGTGAGAATTTGGCAGAAAGGCAGACCAGCTCTGCCAGGAGTATCAGGGAAGGCTTCCTGGAGGTTCAGGCATGGCAGTGCCCTTTGGGGCAGGGAGGCTGGAACGTCTGTCTCTGCAGAGATGCTGCTTCTGAGGGAGTCTTTCCAGTTGCTGCTTTTTTGTGGGGGGTTGGTGGCTGCCTGACTTGTGCTCTCTGCCTCCTTTGAGCCTGTCACTTCTCTTGTGACAGGAGATCAGCGGCTGGTACTACCTTCTGGGGAAGGCCCTGGGTCGGACCAAGCACCTGAAGGTGGCCCGGCGGCGACTGCGGCCCCTGAGAGGTAGGTGCATACCACCTTTGGCTTCTGCCCAGACACACTGTCCCCCTACGGCTTCTCCCATCCCTCCCTTCCCGGGTAGTAGCATCAACCCCTGTGTTTTGTGACACGCTTCACCCCAAGCTGCAACCAGACCGTGGGTCCAGGGACTTCTCATGAATGCCTGCTAGAATGTAACCTGCAGGCAGCCTCTTGCTCACAACATCTTTATCTGGTGGGACTTTTCTTGGAGAGAGTTATGGGACTGACCCTATGTGGTTTAGCTTCCCCTACCCCTAGCTCATGGAGGGCTGGGTTTCAGGAGCTTCCTACGTGGCCCCTTCCCAGGATCAGTGGTCTCAGGATCCCTTTGGGCCTCCTTGCTGACCTTGGGCTGCCTGCCTCTGTGGACAGTTCTGAGGCTCAGAACTTGGATTTCATGTCCCAACAATTCTGTCCTTCCCACATGCAGTGCTGGCTCTTGAGCCCTTTGCCTGGCCCAAGCTCAGGCATCCCCACATTCTGGGGGCCAGGAGTGACCTGGGCAGCTACATGGGCCTGGTACCCTGGTCTCATCCTCTGGGTGATCTGTGGAAAGGACTCTTATCTGCCAGCAGAAACTTTTTGATGCTGCTCTGTCACCTTCTAGACTTGCGGCTGAGAATGCCAGGAGATGGGGACACTGAGAATGGGGAGAAACTCAAGGTAGGTGGGACCAGCCTAGGCAGGACTCATGGGACCTGAGCGCTGCCGTGGGCTCCGACCTGCTCCGGGTTAGTTCCTTGGCCCAGGAGGCCCCTAAACAGGGCAGCATTCGGTGCCTGAGATTCATATTCACTTGATGCTTGGAAACTCAGCAAGTCATGCATTTGTAAGGGATTATTTCTTGTGCTTTTCTAGGGTTACTCATGCTTGGGGCAGAGGTGGGGAGATCTAGATACTGAACCTGGAAATGGAGGAGTCCGGATCTTTCTAACTTTTGGTCTCTTGAAGCTGAGTCCTCCCTTTCCCACAAGTCCCCTCAGATTCCTTGCTTCCTCCGGCATTGTGGTCAAATCAGCCTCTCAGCTTAGGCCCACTTGATATGAGGGAGCGGCCTTGAGTCTGAACCTGAGACCGATGGTTCTAACTCCATCAGGGCTTTGCGTCTAGGGAGGAACTTCACATAGGGATTGGAGAATTTCCCAAAATTCATTCCATCTCTTTGCAGGACACCGAAGGTGATCCATGATTTTCTCTAGCAACTAAGAGAAGGAAAAGCAAACTCCCAGAGATTGAGCAGCCCCTTTGTGCCAGGCGCTGTAGTTATTGAGTTTAATCCTCACTGTCACCTCTGAGGTGGTCGTTACTTCCCAGTCTCGTAGACAAGGGGGACATGTAAGGTTCAGAGATGTTAGGCCACTGTCTGTGGCCACACAGCCAGCAAGTGGTGGAGGCAAGATGTGAAGCAAGGTCTGGCCGCCTCCTGAGAGCACTGTGCCACACCACCTTCTGAGTGTGGCTTAGTTGGGAAGATATGACAGTGATATATATAGTTGTATTATAATCTACAAAACACTTTCCCTTTCATTTACTCCACTCATTCCCTCACTCATTCATTCTTTAAATATTTATTGAATATCTACATGGGCCAGGCCTTATGCTGGGTGCTGGGATACAACTGTGAACAAATCAAAGTCCCTGCCCTCCTGGAGGGTACAGTCTAGAGCCACGCAGTCCAATGAGGTAGCCACTGGCCACCTGTGGTTATCAAGTGTGGCTAGTATGACTGAGGTCTTAAACATCTATTTAATTTTAATTAATTTAAATTTACCTTACACATGTGTCTAGTTGCTACTATATTGCATAGCATGGTATATTAGAGTAACTTGCCAGTTACTGTTTTCTGTGGCTTCATTAGGAGTTTAAACTGTCTTCTAGCTTTAGCTGGGGAGCTGCAAAAACCCTCCTTCCTTTCTCTGTACTTGCTGAGGACAGAGGACAGTGAGCAGGGAGCCTAGCTGGTGATTTGTGGGAATTACAGGGAGAGCAACACCACAGGTTTCTCTGTGGCTTGGGAAATTCCTGCTTTTGCACACAGGTCCTCGGTGCAGGGGGCATTGTTGTGAGGCACATTTGATTTTTCCTGGGCTTACACACTTAGAGCTGTCCATAGCACTCAGCCAAGTGGCGGCGATTGTCAGGGGCTTGGTTGGGGCAGGGGGAGAACCCCCAGAGGTCACCTGTTCAACTCGCCCATCGTGCAGATGGGGAGATGGAGGCCCAGAACCTGGGTGACCTGCCCACTGTCATGGCACCCAGAGCTGGGCTGGACCAAGGGACATTCTCTGTCCTCAAAGATGTGGGTGGGCGGGTTTCCCCAGGGGCTCTGAGGTGGGTGTAAGGGGGCCTGGGCTCCCTAGCTACTGCTGTCCGAGGCAGGGGACAAGAATGGCATTCTGGTTTCAGCTCCATCCTACCCTGCTGTGTGACCTAACAGCTCTAGGCCCCCGCCTCTCCATGGGTAAAACGAGGAGGCTGGGTCATCCTCTTCCGACTTGTCTTTATGGACTAGGTATCATCAGATCCTAAAGCAGCCCACTAACATGAGTGAGGAAACTGACTTTTAAGTCGCTGCTGAGAGTGGCAGGCAGGTCCTCAGAATTCAAATGTTTCACGTTCCCTGTCATGAGGTAGGATGTCTGTGGCTACAACCCCGCAAGGAGTCTTTGGATTCTTTAGGCTGGGTTAGTCCCCTGGATTTACTATGGGGACCCTGGGATTTGCAGGGGGAGGCGGTGTTGTTATAGAGTGGGCTGTGTTTTCTGCCGGGTTCTCCTCTGGCCAGGGGTGTTTGTGAGAACATTGGAATCACAAAGTGGCCCGTGGCGGAGAATGCAGCCAGAACAAAGGCGCCCTCTCCCCGCCAGGCCCGGGGAATACTAACTAGTTGACAAGAATTTTAATATAAAACTCTCCCTCTTCCTTGTCATTCTGAGGTTTCAGGAAGCCTTCGGGCTTATCGTGCAGAGGCACACAGCACAGACAGGGCTTGGGGAGGTGAGAGGTGATTTCCTGCCATTCTTCTGCGGGGCGGGCTTCCCAGGGCGGTCATGCCAGGCTGACGGGGCGCAGTGCGGGCTCCCACTGCTGGGGGGGAGAGCTGGGTTTTCATGGGGCGGCAGCTAAGGCAGGACCCGCAGCCATGAACCGCTTCAATGGGCTCTGCAAGGTGTGCTCGGAGCGACGCTACCGCCAGGTGGGTGCTTGGCCCCTTGGGGGGCTGTGTGGGGTTATTGTTGGAGGTCGGGGTTGGGAGTTCACCCTAGCGGGACTTCTCTCCCCGCAAGGCCTTCCTTGCCCCGTCCTGCTCCTTGCTGGGTCATTTTGATCCAGGGGGAGGATAGAAGCCAGAGCTGGACCAGAGGTCTAGCCTTTACCCACCACCTCTCTCTAGGGGCAGACGAGGCCCAACTCTGTGTGGTCCCAGCCACTGGCTGGGTGTTGTCACAGGGAGATTATCTGTTGATTTTCTGTTATTTTTATTTTGGGGGAGTATGTGTTAAAAAAGCATCCCAAGGCTGAGAATGGATATGGCTAGGTTGCAGAGCAGCTGGGTTTTGTGTTTTTTTGCTAACTTTGTATTTTCGCTAACTTT